CCTGAAAGCCATTACAGCAAAGGTGTCCCGCAAAGTAGGTGCCCTCTGGCGGACTCGGAGATGCTTGAGCCTGGCGGCCCGAGTCACCTACTTGAAGTCCGTGGTGATGCCGGATCTGACCTACGCATCAAGTTGTTTCTTGTTCTGTCTAACTGCCCAGCAAGCAACGGATCTCCAGACGCTGGAGAACAAAGCGGTTCGTGCAGTTTTTGGCGCTCGGCCATACGACTCTGCTCAACCTCTGCTCCAACGGGTGGAACTCTACCGAATCTCAGAGTTGCACAAGCAAAAGGCGCTATTGCTCACCTGGCGATGCATCCACGGCATTGCGGGGAACCGGCTCTGTGGACTGATTTCAAGGTCACCAGATCGGCGTACCCGCTTGCAGAAGGACATCGGAGCGCACATACCACCCGCCGCAAGCCGCGCTGGTCAGGCTAGGTTCTCTGTTGCCGCTCCCAAGCTGTGGAACGCACTACCCAGCGACATCCGCACCATCCCCCAACGCAGTGTGTTCAAGATGTCAGTCATCCCACATACGCTCGCTCCATGAAACGTATCACCCATTATTCCAGTCACTGTTGCTGTCGCATCCACTCGTATGTCGCATCCACTCGTCGTCCACGTCCACTGATGTCGACCGAGGTAGTTCTCTTGCTACTGTGTAATAGTGACATGTACCCAGCTAATGTCTCTGCTTCGTTCAGGGAATTCAGAATAGGAAGTCTGCTGTACCACCCGCTCTTTTCTTTTTACTTTTAAAAGTGATTATTTGTAACATGGAAATTTGTTCCTTGGCTAACCATCTGAGTTCTTAAAGCTATTATTCATTTTCTGCTGCCCCCGGTTATTTCTTTTATTAGTATTATTTTCTTTGCCTTCGCTTTCTTGTTATTGGGCAACTTGCCCGTTAGAATCTGCGAAGTAAAATAAACAACAACAACAACAAACAACAACCTTCTTTCTGTTGGTATTGTCCACAACGCGCGGTCCTTGGCCGCTTGTGGCATAAGTATCTGTGGAGTAGTTTGCTGTTGCCCTCCGAGGTCTCTGGATTAATGTGGGAGCCGTGGCAATTCGTGTGAGAGTTGGTGATCCCAGCGCGGGTGTAGGTGGGTCCACTGCAGCCCCCGCCACAAGAAGAGCCGTTGGCGGTTCTGGTGGTGGCAAGGGCAACGGTGGTGCTGCTGGAGTTGGTAACTTGGGCAGCCTAGCCCTCTCACACAGTACCGCATTTTGTGTTGGCTCAGTCTGTACCACTGGCACAGGGGGTGGGTTCTTGCGCGGTCGGCCACGTTTCGGCCGCTTGGATTTAGCTGCATCCGGCTGAATATACGTAATCTTGTTACCTTTTTGCGTTTCTTCTAGTGGTTTTATTGCACTTGTATTTTGTTGTTATTTCTAACACATTTCTATTTACAGTACTTAACTTCAGTTTCTTTGGTTGTATCCTTAGTTCCGTATTTTTCCCACTGATGATAGGAACAAGAAAATCGATTATGGGTTTTCAATAATATTTTTGTTATAAAATACACAGTAAATACATGTCGAACAAGTAACGTAGTTGCGTGATGTCTGCGGCCTTCATCCTATTCATAGCTATATTAGAATACAATTATATTTTATCTTTCATGGCATCTCTATTTTTTCACGTCTACATGACTTTATCTTGTCCGCAAAAGAGGCCGTTACCCGCAAAACTAAATGTACATGTACAATCTCCCTTGCCATTGCCATTCTCCTCATCAACCAGGGAGGGGTGGAGGACACCGAAGTCGAAGTCCTTAGTATCAGTACTCAACCCCATGCTGCATGTATGTACATTTACCTTTGATATTCATGTTCTTTCCATGATTTTTGTACTTTTTTTAAGTGACTGGATGTGCATGTACATGTATATTTGAAGAGTAACTCGAAGAATGCGGGAACGTGTGACTGTGCCCGGCTGATCCCATTTCACAGAGGTAGCCACTTCTTCACCGCTCTGTACGGTGCATTATTGGATTGATTTTTATTTCACGGATCCTCCAGAGGCAAATAGATGCCTATCGAAGGGAGTCTCCTATTAAAGTAAGTATGCCGAATGTATGTTCGTAAGGGAGAAGAGGTAGAAGAAACATTAGAATATAGATTACAAAACAAGTAAATTCAGTACTTCGGGTAGTACATTGCATGCTAATCATAATGAGAATTAGAAAGGCAGCATTGCGGACTACTATAACTGACATATACACAAACTATTGAAACTATCATAGATTTGGTTAGCCTAGACACAAAAGTCAGGAATATCTTTCAAAGAAAACATAGAATGCGAATGATACCGACGAACAGCAATATTAAATTTCGCTGTTGTAGAGAGTGAACGAATATCTTCAGGAAGTTTGTTCCAGGCAACACTCAAAGAAAAATCCAGCATTCCCTCACTAGTGGGACCATTGTTATTAAACTAAGGCCTGTTTTGGACTTCCCACACTAAATAACGAAAACAAAACAAGCAAACACTACATTGTATTGTTGAAGAATCATACATTAATATTATTAATGGACTTTTTGGCTTTACAGATGATTTTGTTGGCTCGCCTTGTACTTTTATACTTCAGTACACAACATTGGATATTCTGTTACGGCCGCATCATACATATTATTATCGTTGTTATCAAGCACGTAGAAGGAGTTGGCCTCCAATGCAAGCTAGGAATGCCTACAGAACTCAAGTAGATGCTCATTCAACTACTTGTCAATTTTAACTACATTGTAAGTGCTGAGTAAAGTGTAAGGCACTAAGGGGAACTGCTACATGGCACTGCTACTGTCGAAGACGTGATAAAAGTCGTGAACACCGGGCTGTGAGAGCACTTCTAAGTCCTATTGTAGTGTCTGCCAGCCTGCTCGTGTCTGAGGCACTTTGGGCTTACAACAGAAAGTGATACAGGCTGTCAGCACTAGCGGGAGGAAAACAAGCTCTTGGGCTTAGACTCTTCACTTCATAATTCCACACAGCAATGAGAAAGAATGATGGGTTTATATAGGCCAGAGGGAGAGAGCAGCTGGGAGCGAGTGCAAAAGATTACTAGGAAGACAACTGTTGAAAGATCTAAGGAAAAGCCATTTGAATGTGTGTGAGCTAGGGCTGAACAATAACATGGATTCGGGGAAGAAAGCTGTTGGATGCCTAGAACTGGGAAGGTATCTCGCAAGGGATCAAGAGGGTCAGTGATGGGGAATGGACTATGCAGGAATCAATGTAATGTATTAGTACAGCATGAACGCAATAGGTCATGCGGCCGTACCGGTCTTGCAAGCAGGGCTATCTAGTCCTAAGTGGTTGCGCGTGAGAAGCACTTAGCTAGAATGTTCCTGTAACTACTGGTAGAGACTTGGCTGTGTGATCACTGACAGTCAGGGATACTACACTATTACACAACCCTCGAACGCTTACACGTACGAAAATCGAACATACATGTATCTCAGGCGACGCATTTATCAAGCCTCGCCTCGCCTACACCTACATGTACATGTATTTGAATCCAACGTTAGGCTTCCGGCAGTGATGCTCAATGAAATCCGATCGTGTTAGTCAAGTACGCATGGAGCGCTGTGCAGGTCTCTACCTGTACCACACACCTGAGGAAACTAGGATGTGCGTTTCTGGCCATCCAGGACGGATTTCACTGCGCTGCCTTTTGTGTTTCTCTCTTCTCGTCCTCTCTAAATTTTGATATTTTTACCGAAAGAAACGTTGACCCAAATCAGGATGCTCATGAGGGCCTTGCGGAACAAAGACGAGCTAGTGTAGCGCGGCTCAACTTTCTTCAGAGACAGAGCTTTATATATGTTCCAAGACCAGGAGAGTTCAGGTTACATATTCATGTAGAAACCAGCAACGGTTTAGACCAATCAGGAGACAGAGAGATGGCACGGATTCGGCCAATCAGAAGACATGTAATTGTAAAGGAAGAAAGTATAAAAAAAGGAAAGCTTCTCAAAAGGGTAGGTTCGAACCTCACTTGCAACGAAAACGTACTTGTAGTTATTAAAATACTGTACAGGCTTTAAGGTACCAGACTGGTCGTAAAATCCCTGAATATCGAATTTGTAAATTCATATCGGGTGCTACATCAGTTGAAAGAGCATGAATAGCTGCAAAATCTCTGGATTTTTGGCTCGATCTGACCAGCCGTTCAAGAGTTATGGCCGAAAATGTGCCTTTCCAAGGAAAGATATTAATTTTTTGTTGCACGCTGTCATTTTTGGCAGCACTGTATTTGAATGTGAGCGGACCGTGCGCAGTCATGTACATGTGAATGCTGTCACGGAATCAAGACCAGCCGGCAGTGACCTGGTTTACATGTACATTGCGCAAAGCAGGCTAGTGTGACTGACTATAATTATGCACTGTTCTCAACCAGTGATTTGCCACCACACCTCTTGATACACTCCGCCCCTCAGACACACACAGCAAGCCAGCTAGCAGAATGCGTAGGCACTGGACACTACCATCTGCTTGCAAGTACATTGAGATGACGAATGTGTGTAGAGATCACGTGAGAACGTAATGAAGGGAGGTAGCGACTATGTAGAAAAAGAGGCAAGTAGGCGACAGATAGAGAAAGACAAGATGGTACAGTAGTTGGCCTGGGTGATACCACAATGGTGTCTATCATTCACAACGCAACACTCATCGGCGAGAAGCTAGCACCAAGCTGGAGTACAAAGCACGCAGTGAAACATTATGCGTCGTTCTGCAAAAGGAACCGTACAAAACTCTAACCCGGTTCCTGAACGGAACGTTTACATGCATGTAGCTCAGCACTCGGTTTCTGAACCGTAGCACACGACTACATGTACATGTCAGTACAAATTAGAAGTTTGTTTAGGCAGTGAATACAGACTTTAGAGAGAAAAATATTTTCGAACTCGTGCAGACCAGGCAGCAACACTGCTAAGACGGCGGCTATTACCGCCAGCTTATGCAAGCACAGTAGTTAACATGTTAGAATTTATTTCATCCTAAACTCGCAGATAGAATGGCGTTCCTCCTGGCAGCTAATGTCGTTCAACAGGCCTGTGCTAGCTGTAATTTCCACACAGTCTTCGCCGCTCGGGCCCACGTTGTTTGGTTCACCCACATCAAAGTTATTGATCACAGCATACTGGTCGCGGCTATCAACAAATTTCCCCTCCGTTTTCATGTCGTTATATTGCAAGAAGCATCTTCCTGTTACCAATGGACGGAGGAAATTCTCCAGGGCGATGAATTCCTGCATATTCCGCGGGCTGGCTAGATCTCCGCGGAACCGTTGGCAGTTGACACGGGCATCCTGCCTGTTCAATGGGTGCTTCACGAACAGGTACGTAACCGCGCCATTTTCTTGGCGCTCGCAGCAGTGTACCTCTGGAGAATTTAGAACTTCCTCCCACAACACCGCGGTGTGGTTAGCATTTCCGAACCGTCGTGCCTCCGCCTGCCGAAGTGCAAGATTAATCTCATCTTCTTCCAGGGAGTCCAAGAATTCTTCGGCATGGCGCTTGCTTTTCTTGGAAGTCATTTCGGCGGCCAGAGTCAAACAGACCAGGTACAATACACACGCCAAAGAAAGACGAATCATGTTGCCAGCCGTAGTTCAACGTTGCAAATCGTGATGGCAAACTCTTATTTGCGTCGCAGGTTTCAAATAAGCGTCACACGCGGGTAGAACAGGGGCTGACTTGGTTTCTTTCTGTCACCACAGTGGCGTTCAGCTCCCCTTTTATATTCTCCGTAGGTTTCCGTTGGAGATTGCCCAGCTCAACGCTGTTCTAGCACAAAGTGCGGGTCTATTGTCTGGTCGGCTATGCAATATGCATTACTTGAGTGACCATGCAATGTGAAACACAACTGTGACGAGCTCCATGTTGCCTACATGAGATGATAGTGCAACGTCTTGGTTCCAAAGAACACTAGTGGCGAGCCGCGTGCAAGGCTCACTGGCAATACTGCAGTATCAAGTCAAGTGGGCATTTTGGGACGGAGGAGGAGCCGAGACATTTTCAGTAAGAGCTACTATTCGAATCAACCTTTACATTAACATAATATAATTATACAAGTACTTTGGAGCAACTACGTATTATGCCGCACGTACATGTATATGGAACAGTGGAGACACACGATCAAGGTTAACGGAGGGGAATACAACGTATTAGTCCAATATGCCAGCCAATAGTTTTCAAAAGGCATTTTCCACGGGGAGGACTGATAGCGATACTATGTATGATGTTGATGACGTCATTGTGAATCACAGTACCCACCATGACTCTGGTCGAATGCCATGGTAACCAGCTTCTTCATCCAAACATCCAACTGTTTCAATAGCGCGTTTAGTCTCATTGCGATCTCCAACAGACAGAGCGTATCCAGGACTTTAGAGCTTTCTGACAGGTCGCTTTTCAATAAGCTTCACGCATGAATGCTGGTTCAATAACAACACCAGAACATGTTTATGTTGCCTTGTTTCCGACAGACCAGAAGAGGATAGTAGAGCGCCATGCTGCATGATTGCACGCGTACTCTGTTATCTAACTCGGATGGTGAGCCAAATAAAGTAATGGTGAAAAAGGAGAAGGACAAAATGTTACGAGTTATGACTAACTGTCCACCAACGTCACCAGATCTTATACAGTCTGCGAGTACGACAAAATGGCACAAAACTGACAAGGAGTACTGACACATTCGGCGACCTGACACCTAGCTCCAACACTCCTCCAAGGCACAAACCAACAACCTTCCAACTTGGAAGGCTTAGGTTAGTCATAACTCATAACATTTTGTCCTTCTCCTTTTTCACCATACTCTTTTATCTCCTTTCCCATACATGTATTTCCCATTTGCTCTATCCTTTAGACGGTCTGCTACGTATTATTATTGGACACGTACAGAATATCATGTAAGTGCTTGCCTCTCGGTAGTGCAGGAGCACTTCCACGTCATATTGAAAGCCATGGGATTCGGGTTAAAGTTACCGCCATTAGCAAAATTTAATTGTTCAAAAAGGTAGTTTGACGTTAAATTTAATCTCAAGCTACAGTGCTGGGAACTGAAATCCGATCCCCTGAGCAGTGCGATCACATCGCAAAGACCCAACGAAAAACTAAACTACGAAATGGAGACCGCTAGAATGTGAACGCATCACTAGCAGGGGTCTGATTTCACTTGCGAGCGCTGTACGTACATGTACATGTACTACAGTAGAGTTTCGATATGTCGCTGGATTTATACAACTTTGCTTATCTCTACCTTTCCCACAATTATTTGGTATTTTGTTTTTTTCCTACAAGTAGTGAATCCATTGTTATTACTTGTAGCAAGTAGGCGTATTGACTCCTAGTATTACAAATATATAACAAAACCCAATACAAATTTGCACAACTCTCCTTCTATACCGTGTCTAGACCCAGACTTTCTCATTATGACAGTGCACAACATGCATAGAGCCACTGGCAAATGATCGTCACACTATTGTTGCAGCGTGAGGCTAGGATTAGGCACTGGTGGATTATGCCGGCAGAAAAATTGGCAGAATTCAGTACTTTTTCTGGTAAGTTTCATGCATGTTTGGTATGTGGATAAAGAAATGGAGCAGAATTCGATGAATTGCCCGCCATAAGGTTTGTATGGTTCTGCCAATTTTACTGCTTTTCTTATACTGGTATGTAGGAATTCCCCAACAGAGAACAGATGCTGCTGTAGGTTTTACTAACCTTTACACCGATTTTCGTGGTAGAAACGTATTGAAATGTGACCATTCAGCAGAATAAAGTCATGTTCAGTACATCCTCGGTTTTTGATATCGCAACACAATGATGGTGATGAGGAATTGAAACAATTTTTTGGTTTTTAGCGGACTAGCTAGTTCAAAATGCATACAGTAACGGCCATGCTGAGTACTGTGATCTACAATGACCTCTTTAACCTCATTCACAGTATCATTAAACATTTTCTTACTGAAGGAATCGCTTATTTAAACTGATGACCGACCTATTGGAACAATACGTTGTATTCGTATCGGATGACCCCATTATGGTATCTCTACAGTACGGCTTCAAACGTGCACAGAATAACTGTCGCCTCAATGAAGATGTCAACAAAAGGCAGATTCTACGTAGGAATGGACTCGCTGGAAATGCTCTCCGCATTCTGGCTCCTCCTGCACCGTAAAAAGACCACTTGACCTGACACAGCAGTATTATGAGTGAATGCTACACATGGCTCGGAACTGGGACCCTCGGGTCCCATGCAATGTATTGCCATCACAGGAAAGGAACACAGAGCTCGTTACAGTGTTTTTAGCTGAAGCTGAAGGGTTTTTTAGCTGAAACATGCCGTCCAAGCCACCTGATGGCTCTTTCTTCAACACAAAACGGGTACTTGTTTGATACTCGGGCATTGTGAGTGGAGTTTTCAGTTCTGCACGTCCCCTGAACGTGTTCTACATATCCAACTAGACAATTTGGAGATCAGATGCCAACACTTTTTCTACAACAGCGTGAAGCCGTGTACTGTTGCCAATTGAATCCTGTCATTGATATAAAAGGGGAGTGGAAAGCCGATGTATAAGTAGTTCGGTCACAATTCTGATTTCGTTTTATAACTCTCATCTACACACTACGACAGCATTGTTAGCCCACTAATCTGCGACGTCGATCCAGCCAGTGCGGGAAACATGATTCGTCTTACTTTGGCGTGTGTACTGTGCCTGGTCTGCATGACTCTGGCTGCCGAGATCACCTCGAAGAAAAAGAGCAAGCGCTTTGCTGAACTGTTCTTGGACTCCCTGGATAAAGATGAGATTGATCAGGCGCGCCAGCAGGCGGAGGCACGACGTGCAGCCATCGGCCATACTATTGCGAAGAAAGTCAACAGCACATTAAATGCGATGCAGAGGCGCGAGCCAAGAACAGATCAAATGACGCTGGAATGCTGCAGAAGCCAAGAGAGCGGACTTCTTATCTACCGCTACGAGATTCGCCGTTTGACCCAGCAAGCGGCCCGCGTCAACTGCCTACGAAACGGCGGAGATCTGGCCGCTCCCCGCAACATGCAAGAATACCTCGCCTTGGCGAAGCTCTTCCTGCCATTCGCTGAAAAGGGTGGTGTCTTCTTGCAGTACAACGATAAGAGAGCGGAGGGAACATTTGTCGACAGCCGTGGAAATGCCCCTTGGATCAGTAACTTTGAGGAGGGTGAGCCGAATGACGCTGGTGGTGACGAAGACTGTGTGGAAATGAACGGGCGCACAGGGGAGTTCAACGACGTTGGCTGCAAGGAGGATCGTCATTCTGTCTGCGAGTTCAGGATTAAGTAAATCCTAAAATTATAACTCCTGTACATGCATTATGTTGCTAGTACTAGCTGTGGTGGTAGCAGCTATGCTGCCTTGTCTGCACGAGTTTGAAAGTATCGTTCTCTCCCCGAGGTCTGTATTCACTGGCTAAACAAACTGGTAATCTGGGCTTACATGTACGGATGTGCTATGGATCGTAAACCGAGTGCTGAGGTATGTGAATATTCTACTCAGGTAGAGTGTTACAGGTTTCTTCCGATCTTACTGCAGAACGACGCATACTGTTTCACTGCATGCTTAGTACTCCAGCTTGGTTGCAGCTTTTGTCCATGAGTTTTACCTTCTGAGCTATAGGAACCCAGGCCAACCACCATACCATCTCATCATTCTCTATAGTTCCCCTTCTTGCCCTTTTACTCCATGTTCCTAGCCTGTCTCTGTTACATACGCACGTGTTCCGCACACGCGTTGGTCACCTCAATGTACTTGCAAGTAGATGGTAGTGTTCAGTACCAACGCATTCCGGCTGGTTTGCTGTGTAAGTGTATGGTGTACTCGTATGGTGAAGGCATCGGGTTCATGTACGCCTTGTTACTGTGGTGGCATAAATGCGCATGTACAGTAGCGCTCACTGAAATCCGACCCAATGTGCAAAGATGGCGCCCTAAACTTCCACAGCCCTTTGTCGCCCTTGAAGTGGAATGAATGCATCTGGACGTACACATGTACACATACAATGACGTGGTCGGAACTGGTCCAGGCCGCCAGCTTTGCACTTTGGGGCAGATTTCAGTGAGGGCAACGGAAAGTTATAACCTGGCCTTGTTCGTGTCCAGAGTGAAGGTGTATCTGCCTGAGGTACCTAAGACATGTTAATAATTTGGAGAACTTAGTACTGTGGCCATCAAACACATACAATGTAGCTGGGAAGGGGAGGGTGGTTGGCACTCGGGTTGCATAACTCGCATGTACATTTGTAGCTCTGAAAGTGCCAAGTACATGTATTGCACACCAAGTGTTAAGCAAAGCAGATGACCGTGTGGATCATACATTCCAGTGAAAGTACATTAAAATGGTTGGCATATTTCTGAGATCCTATCTCATGTACATGTATGAGAAACTTACAAAATAATAGTGGTAGGAATTATTCGCCTCACTTGTATATTTTCAGATTTTTCGCAGGGCGTAATGGGAGGTAAATCCGCATTGCGGTGAGCCATGAGCACATGTATCAATACTCAGTGTTAGTAACCATGTGTAGCGTGTATCCCAATCTAGAGGCATGAGAGTAAATAATCACAAAACATGCAGTGGAGCAGGGAGTCGTCAAATATTTGACGACTCCCTTTAGCGGAGTGTACGAACTGTTGCTACCATGCTTGCATCACAGCACACTAAGGTCATGTTTTGATTGGTTAAACTGGATTCAGATCAGATTCACTGGAGCAGTCAGAACAACAGATCCCAATCTACCAGAACAGCGGATATGTTTGCCAGAAATATAGTAGAACTCATGATAGCTCATCGTGCCTAGAACTTCAAAATTTCCACATAGTTCAAAATTGCCTTACGTTGCTCAAGATGCGTAGGCGAATACAAACGGAGAAGAAGCTTGGACGACAAACAAAAATTCAATCATGGAAGTGGAGACCACTATGTAATGTGCCAATTACACATAAACCTACATGTACATGTACAGGTACATGTCCATCACCACGTCCTTTACATACAATCCCAGATAATGCCAGAATTGCTTCAATATACAGTGTTCATGAATAATAAAAAGTAAACTCATTGCGTAGCCCCCTATGTTTTGTCCTTTTCCTCGTTTCTTTTTGTTCTCCACCTGTGTCTAGCAGGGCTGTGTCAATAGTCAAAAAATAAATAAATGAATAAAATAATAAAAGAAAGCCCTGCCAGGTTTTCATTGGGCTTTGCAACTTGCTCTGGCTGCTCCAGCCTTCAAGGTCGGAGTAGTCAGAACATGTTCCGAACACTCTAAAACCTCAGTTCAGAACAATCAAACGCGTATGTTCTGAACGATCCTGTTCCGGATCCGAGCAATCAAGCGCCCTAAAGCTGGCTTTGCCCTGTGCATGAGAGCCGCGAAGAATGTATCATTAATTTTGCCATTCATTGATCTCCACGTCAACCCCGAAGACCAGACAGCTTGGCCAACTAGAGTGTTGCAAAATATTGGTTTCAAAGAAGTCAGGGACAGCTTGGAAAATGCTGTCGGCTGATAATGTTCCATGATCTCGGTTTGATCTCCCTGATCGCGGACGGGAATTCGGTCACTGGGCGCAGAATGGTAGCTTTCACACACCAAGGACATTAGCTGGGGCAATCAGCAGTGTCAGCAATGCCTAGCACTTGACTAGAGTAAAATACTATACATCTGTGCACGTACAATAATCTACTTGAGTCCTACATGCACTGACAGCTAGTTTTCGAGATCAACTACCTGTTGGTACTTCAACTCCACTACATTCCGTGCTGGCTGACTTACAATGTCGAAATGTAGATGGCACTTGTCGGCTAAAGTACCAGCCTGATCTAGTATTGCACATTCATCTACATGTACAACCATCTACATGTACCTTGTACCAAGGTACAAAGTTACAGGAGAGAGGAAGCCGAAATGATGACACACGGTGACAGCAGTTTAAAATGCTGTTGAGAACAAGTCATACATGTAGATAGGAACAAGTAAATAGCAAGAATAGCTGCTGCTCCCCCCCCCCCCTGCTCGATGTGTAGGTGGTACGCTCAGTATCACGTGACTCCACGGAGGCAACTCACAACCAGCAGGCTGGTTTGATGAAGAAAGATGGCCAATGTCATATCCGAAAAGGGGACACACTGATAGAATGAAAGAGAAAAGAAGACGGAAAATCTACCTATGAAGAAAAATGATTGAACGAACACGATATCAAAACAGCCATGTACTGGCAATGTTTCGGGAAGATATACATGTAGAAGGGTAGCTAAGCTAAGGCAGAAGTAAATGAGCGATATGACTAATACAAGTACTTCCAAAATATAAAAGTAGAGGTATAGCACTGTTCACGATGAGAGTCAACTCAACAATAATATTGGGGTTGGTGAAAGTTGTACATAGCAAGATGGAACGGGAAACGAAAAAAGGTAAACATGGAGAGTAGGTGCAAGAAGCGAGAAACTAACTGCGAAACAATAACGTGCATCGGAAAACATATCAAACTGACCCGACAGCAGAATTATAGAATTCTGAACTGACAGACAGACAGGCGTTCTTGTGAGCATGGAGTATCGTTAAACATGCCAGTACCACCATCCATCTCCACACAGTCTTCACCGCCCGGACCCACGTTGTTTGGCTCGCCCTTCAGAAAGTTGTTGATCACAGCGGGCCGCCCAGAGACATCTACGAACCTTCCCTCGGTTTTGACATCATTGTAAAACAACCAGACACCAGGAACGCCTGTGAATGGGCGGATGAGATTCTCCAGGACAATGAATTCTTGCATGTTGCTTGGACTGGCCAAATCTCCACCATTCCGTCGGCAGTTTCGGCGCGCTTCTCCACGGGTCATGGGGCGATTCTCGTAGCGGTAGATCAAAAGTCCAGTTCTGGAGTTTCTGCAACACTGGACAGTCATTGAAGCTGTTCTTGCCTCGCGCTTTCCCACAGCACTGGAGGTGCTGTTGACCCTCTTGGCAGTTGTATAATCACCTGCTGCACGTCGCTCCTCCGCTAGTTGACGTGCCTGATCAATCTCTTCTTCGTCCATGGAGGTTAAGTACTCTTCAGCATAGCGCTTCCTCTTATCCGCGGTAATGTCGTCAGCCAAAGTCATTGAGACCAGGCAGAGAACAAACGCCAGAGGAATGGTAAGACGCATCATTATTATCCTACCACTGAGGGGAGAGACGATTGCTGATAATAAACAAAGCCGGCTTTGAACAACAACAGCTCTAAAGGTAGATACCTTAACTGTTGTGCTTGGTTTCATAGAGAAATCAGCTCAACACGACACTTTTATACCAGATTGTTAGGGGGTTTTGTGGCTACAAGGCGATGTCTACATGTCCTTCGAATGACTCTCCGGGGCGCAGCATATACATGTAGACCAGAATGAGCAGCTGAAACTGGGAGAGCTTTTTGGTAAGAGCGAAATGAACCTTAGAAACCCGCAGGCAGACACGCCCGCACACACACACACACACACGCACACACACACACACACACACACACACGCACACACACGAAGACACATAGAAAACACATATCCTGCACAGGCAAAGTATCCTGGATCGACTGTGTCTATCTCATCAAAGATGCTATGCATCTGCTGTGGCAATGGGCGTCATGACAGGGCAGATCTTACCGTGATTGCTGGTCTAATGCCCAGGGAAGGGCCAAGTATCCTTGGATTCCAAATATCCACAGGTGTCCTCTTACCGTACGTATGCCTCACCTAGACAACAGCTCCTAACGTTGAGTGTTTCACCTTGTGCTGTCCTTTTCTTTCCCAGTCTCAATTCCCTGCCACTTTGACCTGCTGGGTTAGAATTAGTTTTTGGAGCCATGATGACTTTCCCGGAGGCCATACAATGTTCTGAATGTCTGGCACATTTGTGTATGTAATTGTGTATATGCTTCGCTGTAGTTCTGGACTTGCGTACACGATCCCTTTGGAAGTGATATGTCCTTTACTGCACTGTTGCGGTGTGATGAGCACACAATATGCATTTCTCGCCTAAGCGAGAGGGATTAGGAACCTGGTCATCGGATGTGTTTTCACCGTCCGTGTACGGTTGAGTCAGGCTTAGTTTTCCGAACCCCTGGTAACGCGTCCTTCTTCGCCGATGCATCGTATACGGCGTGGAAGGTGTGTTTATCAGACCCACCAGCAAATGGTCAGAGATAGAATATCCCATTCACTATAATTATCTATGCTTCCTTTGCAAGTTTATCTTCCCTTCTGTTCTTTGTCTTGCCTTTCTCAGGCAGTTTTGTTGAGACTCACCAGTGGAAGCTATCCAATTTTTGAATACGGTTGTTATTATTTTGTACACGTTAGTCTCAGTGTGTACGGGCTGCTAGAGCCGTCGCAATAAATTCCTGGCAATATCGATGCCATGGCTATAGTACCATGGTACCGGCACAGCATTGAACTATCTGCGGTCCTGCGCTGCAATGGTCAAAACAT